TGCAGTGGAAGAAGAGGCGACAAAACTACAGGCCTCTCTTGAGATGCTGGCGATGCCGTCTCCTGCTGCATCCAGGTCCTCCATGAAAAAGACTCTGTCCTCTTCCTCTACACATCTGCCTGTCCTTCCCCTGCCTGGCAGGAGCCTGCAGGGAGACGCCTCAGTACTAGAAGCCCCACTGGAGCCTCCTGCCTCTCCTCTATGGGCTGGGGACTGACCCTGACTGGGAGGCGACAGCAGGGTGGACATCTCATCTCCTACACGGTAAACCATCATGTTGAGCTGCTCCAATTCTTCCTCATCATACTGCATGGAGCAAGCCAGCTCAGCCTCCTCTGCCTCCTCACACAGCAGGCCCTCATCCTGGTCCTCCTCCCCTCTCTCAGTCTCCACCTCCTCCCAGCCCTGTTCCACTTCTGCCAGTTCCTCCTCCTGGCTGGGACAGACATACAGAGCCAGATGATCCCGCTCGCCTTCACTCTCCTCCTTGGAGGTGTCATTAGTGGGGCTGCAGGATGACTGATTCTCTTGGACTGGTGCTGGTACACCGTTTGTGGCCAGCCCCTGGCCTGTGGACAACTCCCCATCCTGAGAGATGCAGAGGTTCCTCTCCAGCATCATCAGCTCCTCTTCAGTCAGTGTCTGCAGCAGGTCTCTGCAAAAGCATCATGAGCTAGTTTTAATATAGCGATGGAGGATCACTTTGTGTGATGGCTATTATGTTATGTTTGATACCTGATTTTCTTCAATAAAGTGCGAAAAGGCCGGAAGAGCTCAGACATATCCTCTGATTTTTGGTCTAGGTTGAGAGGCCCCTCAGAATACACAACCAGCCCACTGCAAAATATGTTTAAAATTCTGTTAAGATGGTGGGTTGGAGTAGAAAACAAAGAGATCGGCGGAAGAACGAAGTGGACAGGCAACACTTACCACACAATGGCTAGTCTGGGAATTGTAAACATCAGAGCGGGTTCATAGTCATCGATCATGTCCTGTGTGAGATAGCCCAACTTCAGGGCCCTGAGACAACACAGAGAGGGGAAAACACATGATAAGAACATTGATCATATTGTCTCTAAATATTTTTTTTAGATTCTGCTTAATTCCAAATGAAGTCAGTTTGCTCCTCTGTAAACTCACCTCTCCACTGTCTCACAGAAGAGCACAATCACCTCCTGTTGTACATAGTATTCTTTGGGAGACTTCACAGGCACCATGGCTGACACATAACTAGCAATGGAAAAGAAGGAAGATGAATGAAGTAACAGTCACAGTTGAATTAAACACTTTTGGAAAACCTACACCAAAAGTCCTAGAAAGGATGGTAAATGTGGTTTAATCTTGTTGAAATAATTGCCAATAATATCAGCATCTTAATCTACCTGAGCTCAAACTCAGCAAAAAGGCTGTCGAAATGTCGCAATGCGTCTTTCATGCGGTCCGTGTACAAGTTGAGGTCTCTCAGGGCCTGGTCCCTGGTGATGTTGCGTACCTCCTCCAGGCTGCGAGTGAGGTCCTTAGCCAGGGGTCTCATAGCTATACTCTCTATCTCCCTGTTCATGATAATGGAGCCGGCAGCTAAACACTGCACAGGAACATGCACATCATAAATTATTTCGCCTTGTACAGAGGATTAAACTGAGAAAATTATGTTTACAATGAAGCACTTGATAATCAAAAAATACAACTGTAAAATAAAGTATTTTTTGGTACAAGTAATGTTTTACATGTAAGAATGATGCTGTAGGGAATTCACTACCTCTGCCCCAAACCACAGCTGCCCTGCCAGGTTGTCATGACGAATCTCCTCGGGGAATTTGACACAGAAGTCTCTGTTCGCCCGGTTGTTGGGGATACATTCATCCATGATCTGATTGATAATGTTCAACACATTGTCCTGCATATGAGCACAAGAGTAACAGAAAACAAAACTAAGCAAGTGAGGCAGAGGAGAAAAACATGGAGCGAAAAATCCTGAAAAGCAATTTTCTCAGTGTTTGCTTTGGTTAATTAATGGTGGCTAATAATCCAAGCTCCACTTCCACAAAGACCACTGTATTGCAGTGTTTAAAGACCACTGATTAGGAAATGAATGAAAACAATCTGACAAGTACATGAGACCATTAAGGCCCTCATAGCTACATTCCCCCTAAATAAAACCACTGTATTAAAGCCCATAATTCACAATGTCACACACAGCAAGAGCTAATCAAGAGCTTATGTGCCGCTGGCATGTACAACAGCCATAACAATGACTTACAAGGAGCCTTTCACTCAACAGCAGCTGCACTGTAATCTTGTCAGGCACAGCACTGTGTCTTTCTCCGCTCAACCCGAGGAGAAAGATGAAAAAGCTTTGAGAGCGAGAGCTTAACCACTGATTCCTTTATGGCTGTGTATTATGTGTGTGCCTTGGTCCGGTCTGAGTACCAGCACACTGTCTGTTGAGTGTCTCCCTGCAGGGCACATGTGATAGATAACCTTCACTACTGTTAGTTTCCAATCATCCAGGGGTGGTGACTCGGGTGTGATACCTGCTTCTGACAAAAAACCGGCTGCAGTTCTTTTTCTTTTTTCCCCTCTTTTCACAGTCTGTCTTTTTCTTCCTCTGTCTCATGTGTACGCCAATCTTTGTCCATCTCAAACACACAAACTCTCACACTTGCCTGTTCCAGTAGGCCACGCTGTAAGAACAGCTGTGCCAACATAATATGAGCAGCATGCCAGCAACCCCCACAGAGGCCCGTGAATAAAAGCTGATAGCTGCAGTGACAGGTTCAAGTGCACAATTTGGGCTCGAGTGTGCTTGCCTTTTATTCCTGAGGCCTCGGGGCTTTGGGGTATCACGCTGCTCAATTCAATCCTCAAAATCTCTCAGGGCCTTGGAGGCACACCACGGCAAAGATTCCTCTCTGAACATCTCTGATGTGCTGAGAGTTCGCTGTTAAACAGTTTCACTGCAACTTATCAAATGAGCAAGAACAGGCTAATATGAGGTATTAACAGATAAAACAAGGGCTGCTCATTCACAAATACTGAAAGCCCTCAGAATGATGAAAATAATTTTAAAAATCTATGTAGGAAAGTGGAAGAAGACCAACAGAACAACTAAAGAAAATACTGAAGACAAACAAGGTGACAGATACGCTAACAAAGAAAGGAGGGGAAACCATTGGCTGTATATAAAAGATGGACAAACCCTCTGTGACGTCACCCACTGGTTTTCTGAAGAGCTGTGAGCGGTTTTGAAATCTGGCCATTAGTAATGCTTCACTTGCCTAACTCCAGCTAATCCAAAAATGGGCAAAGAGGTGGAGTGTGTGTGGAGCTCGCTAGGCAGTTAGCAGCTAGCCACCTGTGGTGGGACTCTCCTGTCTGTCACTCAAAGCAGCAATGCCCTTAATTATGCATACATTTAGGCCTCAATACAATTTAAATAGGCAAGATAAAAAAAATAATTCTGCCCCTGTATAGTTGACATGGAAGGGGAAGTTAGCTATAAAGACCAAAACAGTTTTTTGTTCCAGGCTGTAAACATGTTTATTTCTGATGTAAACGTGGGCATTTTAACATGGGAGTCTGTGGAGATCAACTCCCTTTTGGAGACAGCCTCAAGTGGCCATTTGAGGAACTGCAGGTTTTAACACTTCCACGCTGATTTCACTTCTCATCCTCTGAGGTTGCTACTTGGGGGAAACACACAGATCAGTTGGAGATCAAGTAATGACCTAATTAAGTGATTCTCCCCTGTGTGCTGTGGGAGGAGATTAAGGCACAAGGAGCAAGATGACAACCTCTCTCCACCACCCCCAGCTCTCGCATTACAATTCAGCTTGCAGCCATCACTCATGCACAGCATCACCTTCTAAGCCTCCTGTCAGTAAAACAATAACCTGTATTGTTATTAGGGGTGTAAACTGCTACTCTCATTGCGATACAATCCTATGCCGTTTCTCTTTGCCAGCTATTCAGTGTTTGCCAAAACTTAAAAATATGCCACAATCTGATTTCGATTTGATTCAATTCAGGGACCTGTGATCGATATCAAGCTAGAGTTTACTTACTGTGTATTTTTCTTGGCTGCTAAAGGTCAACGCCAATTCTCATAAGAAAGCGTTTTGTCACTTGCCCCACTCACAAAACAAATTAAACTATCTGTTGTCTATGCTTCTTCTAAGTCCCTTCTCTCTGGTGCATTTAACAAAGCGTAATCCCCACAGACCTTTGTCCGGTCAATGTCCTGCTGACAGACAGAGAGCTGTTCTGATGACAGTGATGCCACACAGAGGTCGGAGTCGGTGTGGACTGAACCAATCAAACGCCTCAGTAGCACATGCCCTGCTCACATCTCAGTGCTATCTGCACCACTTGGCGCTGTTGTGCAGTTTGAAAAGAACAGCGCTTCACCAGAAATGCGTACCTAAGTGGCTGGCTGTCAAAATAAAAGCAGACAAAACATCAATGTTCATGCTTTGCATCAATGTCATCAGATCGCAGGGTGTTGGATCGATGGATCGATAGATCCTTACACCCATAACTGTTACATACAATAACTTAACATACATTCATCTGTCTTATGATATAAAGTCATAGCTTAGATTCAGCTTGATTATAATAAGATTAATAAATAAAGATCACTTACTAACCAGTTCTTGTTCAAAACACAATGACCTCAGTAAAAACTATACTTACAAATAGCCTCGTTCCAAAGACAGTACTCCTGTGACCATTTACTAATAACACGTATGACTGCGCGTTATCAAAGCAAATAGGAGTGTGTCCACTGGCTGCTTCCAAACAAAATCTATTATCTAGCCTTATCAGTACAAGTACCTGATAGAAGAACCCAGCCAAGCTATGTTTGGTAAAGTAGTAGTCCTATCACCACGCCTGTATCCAGAAAGGGACGATAAGAGTGTTGTCTACTTTTAGTTTCCAGGCCAAATCAAAGTCCAGCCAGGTGACTGTATGACTAAAAGGCATCTAAAATAAACACATGATTTAGTGGTTCAGAGTCAAATCTAGGCTAGAGATAAAATTAAACATACAGTATCTCTGCTTTTCTCCATGGAAGGGTCATTTCTTGGTCTAATTTATAATGAAGTATAAACACTAATTTAAACTGATTGAAATATATCCTCAGTGAAATTAAAACCAAGACAATGACTTTGAGTATGTTGGTTTCCTCCTGCTGACCTGACAGGATCGGAACTGGTTGACCAGCAGGGTACATCTCTGAGGGTCCTTCCTGCCGTCAAGGCTGTCCAGCTCAGTGGCCACCTGGTTCAGCTCTTCATCAGCGTAGTAGAACTGAGCCAGGAGTTGAGGGTCTGTCCTCTGCACAGAAACACAAGGAGGTCATTTCCGTTACTCACATGGGTGTTCACATTGTCACAGAGGTGTTCCTAATATTCTGACCCTCTTATGTATGTAGCTGGGGAGGACAAAAATATAGAAACACTTCTAAATATAATGTAGTCCAATACAACACCACCTTTAACTATGACCTCAATAATAAACATATAGTTGAATTTATACATTCATGACAATTTTACCAAAAACAAACATTTTGAGCTTCATAAACACAGATGTTAAGGCGGATGTGTTGCACTGATTTGCATACAATTGCAGAGGTATACCTAATGAAGTGGCTGGTGAGTGTATATAGAGTAGTCTGCATATAAATTCTTTAGTCAGTTTTCCTAAAAAGCTGAAAAATTATACTGGGATTGTCCACCCACAGATAAATGAATATCCTGTCTATTAAAGCCTAAGCATCTTATCATCACTATACTCAAGCAGGAACAAATATTACATTAACATTAAAACATTCCATTATTATAAATGCTTGATGAGAGCTGTAGTTGCTGTTAGTTTGCCATCACATACTGCTTACCAAATGTCATAGACAAGCCATCAGATTTAATATATCAGTGAATATCTCGGGGGATGGCGGGGGATGAAGCTGGACAGACTCGGCAGACCCAAACGTATTGTGAGGATCTGTTGGGAACGTTTAGCAGAATCCCCTGTCAGAGAGATCTTCAACTCCCGCCTCCGCCAGAGCTTTGACCAGATCCCGGGGGAGGATGGAGATATTGAGTCAGAGTGGACCATATTCTCCACCTCCATTGCCGATGCGGCCGTTCTGAGCTGTGGCCGTAAGGTCTCCGGTGCCTGTCGTGGGGGAAACCCCCGCACCCGGTGGTGGTGGACACCGGGAGG